ATTCTCACCATCAAACCCAGTGAATTACACACGTGTGCAAGGACCTTCATCCCCACTGGAAATGACTGCAATGGCCATTGTTCCAGGAGGACTGAATAAACTGAGTTGTAATAGGTCTTAGTTGGTTGGTGCTGCTGTAACAAAGCGCCACAGACTGGGAGGCTTGTAAACAACAGAAACGTATTTCTCACAGTTCTGGAGTGGAAGTCTGAGATCGGGATGCCAGCATGGTGGGGCGGGGACCCGCTTTTGGGTCGCAGACGTCTTGTGTGTCCTCACATGGTGCAGGGGGAGAAGGATCCCTGTGGAGCCACTTTTACAAGAGCACCAATCCCATTCGCTGGGAGCTCTGCCCTCATGACCTCACACCTCCCAAAGGCCCCGCCCCCTAAAACCATCACCTTATGAATTAGGATTTCAACATACAAATCCAGGGGGGTGAGGAAATGCAAATATGCCAGTCGTGCCATAATACATGTGCACTGTGCTCCCGTTAAAAAGGAACTGGAATAAAACACACTGTCACAGGAGAAAAAGCAAGTTGCAGTGGGGACAGAGGGAGTGGACAGACGTCCAGGGCCTTGTAGGCCACTGTAGGACTATGGGTTTTGTTCGAAGTAAGACGGGAAGTCACTGGAAGGTTTTGCACAGGGGAGGGGGCCTCTAGTGTACATGGTTAAGAACAGACTCCATCCGCTCTGTTGGCAGAAGACCCTGAGGGTCTGAAGAGGAAACAGGAGACGGGGTAAGGCAGGACTGCCCAGTCCACTCTAGGGATTGTGGCGGTGGCAGTGAAGGATGAGAGGGGGTCTGAGCCTGGATTTGGGGTCCATGCAACCAGAAGGAAGTGGCACACCTAGCACCATGCAGCAGGCAAGGGCAGCAGGCAAAGGCAGCAGCTGTTGCGAGGGCACGATCAGGAATCCCACTAGGGGCTGTCAGGCCCAAACTGACTGTTAAACGTCCCAGTGTAAACTGTCGAGTGGGCAGTTACAACAGGGGTCTGGAGCTCACGGGAGAGGTCAGGCTGGAGACAGGAGGGTGCGACCATCAGCCCAGAGGTGACACAGAAACGCTCAGCACTAGACGAGGCGGAGGACAGAGCCCTGGAACCCTAGACATTTAAAGGACTGTCAGAGGCTAAGAATCTATCAAAAGAGACAGAGCAGCAGAAACCACAAAGCAGGAGGAGAAGCAGGGGGTGGGCACAAGAAGGGAGAGAGATCGATTGTGTCAAAACAAAGCAGCTCAGGGCTGGCTCCTGGTCCCCAGGAGCTGCAGCAACAGAGGCCAAGAGGCGCCTCTGCAGTTGCCTAGGTCAGCACTCCTTAACCTTTAATGTGTACCCAGGTCACGGGGGTCTTGCGAAGGGGCAGCGTTGCCTTCGGGAGCTATGGGGAGGAGCCTGGGGCTCCAAGAGCCTGGAGGCTGGTCTGGGACCCCAGTTCAGTCACACGCGTTTAGACCCAAACCCCGAAAATCAACATGCACACAGTCATAAGTGAGGACATGTCCAGGGAAAGCTCAGCATAAGTGTTCCACCTTCTTCCCTCTAAATACAGACCCAGCCCTTCTTCCCACACAGCCCCGCCTCCATCAGTTTCCCCAGGTGATTTCCCCTCCATCACGCTCCTGAGGCTTCCTTACACCCAGAACGCTCCACAGCGTCTTCAGGAACCAAAGCAGCGAGTCCTAAAGTAGAACCCAAAGTCCTCTGAGATAAAACCTAGACGTCCCAGATAGGATGTCCCAACAGAATCCCGGTCTGCCAGGAGTGCGCACCCCATTCCTATGCTGCCTGGACCCCAACACCCCCACATCTCTGAAGGCTGGGGGCTGTGCTTCTCCTGAATTCGTCTCACAGCCCCTCTCTCCACCACCGCAGCTTCCGGATTCGAGCGGTTTCCTTGGTCATTCGTCAGCCACCTTCACCCCACACACCTGCCATCCCTCATTCCTCCAAAGAGCCGCTAACACAAGGTCACTGTGTCTAGCAGGCTTTTTCTAAGGTTTGGAGGTTGCAGAGGATAGTAACGGCGCAAAGCAGGAAACCACTCCAAACTCAACGTCAAGCGTTGCCATAAAATTACTATCATGTACTTCCTACCACAGGGAATGTCTCTGAGCCCCTATTCTGCCCCCCAGACCCCCCATCACATCCCCTACCACTGCACTTTTCATCCTCTTCCTCCCCAGCTGCTTTCATAGCTCCAAAACCCCTCTGCTTTCTTCCCCAGAGTATGTCTCCTTCTTGGTCTCTCCCCTCCCCCGCTGGGGCCTTACCTTCCAGCAGCAAGGTGCCAACAAGGCACTCCCAGTCCTCTGTGTGCAAGCCAGCCCTTCCCAAACGCAGGGCACACCAGCGATCTTTCCGATAGCGTTCTGTCCCTCCCACCACAGTCAGAAAAGAACACGTGTTGCGAGAAATCGGCAAAGTACATCCAATTCCCTAGCCCCGAACCTGCTTCCAAAAAGCCTATGATTCCACAGAAGCCAACATCTGCTAATATTTAAGCCAAGTGTCAAAGTGAGAAACGTTGCTTAACAGATACACTTGGGGAGAGACCACTGTAAATCTTCACACTTGTTTTCTGTTTGAATTCTTAATACCCCCGCAAAGCATCATTCGTTCCCCCCGCCCCCCACGGATCCGTGGCCCTCCCTCTCAAACAGGGTGTTGTTTTGCACAGGCCCTCCGAGGGGGAAAGCAGAATGAAGCAGCCCGACTTAGTCATCTCTCGGTAATTTCAAGTTGGTAACGAGTGCTAGAGTCTCTGGGCTCCGCGCCCAAGGGCACCCGCGGTCCTCCGAGGTCACTCCCTCTGCTTATTTGTCCCAGCCCACCTGTCTGTCTCCTGGGTACCATGGCAGGGAGGTGCGATGGTGTGTCCAAAAACGTCGCTTTCCATTTACCGTGCGTGGGTATCTGAAGGCCAGCGTTTCAGAGGCCGAGTCCTGGTAAACCAGTGCTAATCACATCACTCCCTGCTTAAAGCCCCTTGACAGCTCCCGCAGAGCAGAGAACAGAAGTTGGCTCCATGCTGACAGCTGGCCGGGGCCTTCCAACCTGCTCTGAGAGGGCCTTCTGTGGCCAGTGCATACAGCACAGATCCTCAAGTCAAGGTCGAAAGTGGAAGGCAGGGAGCTCAGGGGCTGGCAGGTAGAAGTGCTTCATGGGCTCACGTCCTACCACACAGGGACCGAGGAGCCGGGGGTGCGAGGCCCCTTGATTCATGGAAACAGTGCCTTCCCGCCTCCACCAGTGAGAGCCCCCAAGGACCCTGGAGCCAGGCGTCCTGCCCACACCCACGCCCACGCCCCCAAACCCTCTGCCCCCATGCTTGATCCCCACACTCTTTTGGTTTCCCCTAAAACTCCCTGAATTCCTTCACAGCTCCTTCAGGTTCCTCTTCCTCTGCCCACCCCTGAGTGTGGGTGTCTCCAGACTTTAATCCAGAGCGTCTTCCCTTCTCTTCTCACTGCTTCCCAGACCATCTGTGTAAAGTCCCAATCCACACTCCCCCCACCCTACTTAAAAACCCTTCAATTGTCCTCTACCGAACACAAGACAAAGTCCGATGGACTCCAATCCTTCTTGGCCTTGCCCCCGCCCACCTCCCAGCGCCCTTCCTCCCTGCACTCAGACACTCCGTGCCCCCTCTGATTTCTTCTACCAAAGGAAACACAGCCACGTCCAACCGTGACAGCCAGAAGGCCTTGATTCATGTCTAAACCACACCGTGCAACAGTCATGTGCTGAGTTCTCTGTTTCTGCCACCAAACTCTGAGCAGAAACCCAGGCAACTACCTGCAGCCTCTGAGCCTCGCCAGGACCCTGGTACTTAATACCCGATGGAATCGTTGCTGTTTGCTGAGTACTGTTCTAAGTGCCTTCCTATGAATTACTTTACATTAACCTCACAAAGCGGTTGTTTTCCATTGTTACGTATCATTGTGATTATATTAGTATAATAATGTGAGTAATAGTATTTGTTGCTACCCCCGTTGTATAAATGAGGGTCCCGAGATGCAGAAATGTGAGGAAACACCCCAAAGTTGCACAGTTACAAAAGGGGGTGAGGGATTTGAACCCAGACAGTCCGCATTCTTCGTCACTGTGTGTGATACACAATCTTAACAAAAGCCTTCCAAGTGAGCTGATCAAATGATCCACACGGTTCTGCAGGGAGTGGACGTAAATGCTGTTGCAGGTCCCTCTAGACCCCGACAGGGAGACACGTGAGAAGGTGGTGAACTGGGAACCCAGCTGAAGGGGGCGCAGGGTGAGAGGCCAGCCCGGGGCACAGACGCAGCTTCCCAGATGCGCTCGCTTCACCTGGGTCACCGTGACTCACCCTCCCCTGGGCAGGACACAGATAACAGGAATGTCATTATTCCCGTGACTCAAAGGGAGGACAAGCCAGGCCAGAACTGGCCTAGAGCCAGTGTGGCGGGTTCTAGTAACACCCATCAGGAATCACAAGATGGAATGGAGAGAGGGGGAAGCCTGTAGACTCCACAAACCCAAAGGGCAGAGCTGAGGCCAAAGACCAACATGAGAGGCACGAGGTAACCCACAGGCCGCTGGGGCAGAGATCCCGCCTGCCCAGAAAGGGGGTCATTGAGCAAGAGCGCTGGTCCAGCCTGCCCGGCGCCCAAGGGGAAGACGGAGAAGGTGGGCTTGGCACCAGCTACAGGGCACGGCTCCCTAGCTGCCCGTGCTGGGGTGCCAGCAGCCGCCGACTCAGAGTCCGGGGCCGCACCATGAGTCCCACTGTCTGCACTCTAAATACTGTGTGAGCAGTAGGTGAAGGAACCTGCCCTTCCAGAGGAGTTGAGGCATCTGTGAGAGGTGGAGGTCACCTTACGCCTGAGTCTCTAACAGAACCTCGAACCTGCAGCCCCCGCTGGGCTGGGACCAGCACGCAGTTTGGTTTCCCCTGGAAGGAAATGTTGAGTGATCGCACTTTCCCTTTAAAAAGCCCGAGCCCAGCACTCACCCGCATGGGCTCGTCCCGGAACCCGGGTTTGCTGGGCCTGTCCTGGCGCCTGGACCGCAGGAGCTGTTTGGCCTCCTTTTCTGTCACAATCGGGGAGGCCCCTGAAAAAGTCAGGACAGGGCCTTAGGGACGCTTGGGGCACATGAGTTCACAGCGAAAGGCGAATGATTAGCAAGTTCAATTTCAGACAAAACACAAAAGTTCTTTCATGGGGACCTGTCCCAGAGGACATGGCATTCCAGACGGCTCGGAGAGGAATTCCAAATGGTCTCTAATATGGTTACCTCGGGACCAGGCTGCACAGCTCAAACGTCTTCACCTACCACAACAGCCCTTCCTCTGGAAGTGGGTGTTAATGCACTGTTTTTTAAATCGTATTTTCTTCAGTTCTCTGGTCAGTGTGTCTCCCGCTGCTTAGGTTTGCTTTGTGGGATCTTTTTAAATCCCAGCACGTTAGATCAAGTTAAAGTTGTTATTGGAAGACCCTCCGAGACAACAACATTATGTTAAACTTGATCATCACGCACGGTCCCTCAAAAGAGATATTATGATGATAACATTACATTAAGTTTTGACGATCACACACACACTCTAAAAGATATCATCAAATATGTCTACCAAACATTGGTAATCTCATATGAACTCTAAAAAAAGGCATAGTTGAAGATTTATCAGCATTTTTGAGAGTCAGTGTTCATACGCATTGAAATATTAAAGAAGACTTTTTCCCTAACGATAGCAATTCTAGGTGCCTGCTCTAAGAAAAAAAAAGTATTGAATTATTATACATTATGCACTTATATATACTTACACAAATAACATACATCTTATTTGAAATGAAAAACAAAAAAAAAACTTAAGAGCATAAAATAGACTTATTTCGGTTTATCACGTGAACATAGAGAGAGGCTGCGTTCCCGGAGCCCACGCTCACCTGAGAAGAAAGCCAGTAAGGCGAGCGCGAGCGCGAGCGCGAGGAGCGTCTTCATCCTGCCTCGGATCCTCTCTCCCCCAGCCGCGCGCCCGCCCGCTGCAGAATGGGTCGCCGCCTGGGGAGCCAGCCTTCCTGAAGGAGGCGGAGTCCAGCCCAAGGCTTGTTTGTGCTCTAACAGCGCTTACCGGGTGACGCTAAGGACATCTGACAGAGTTTTTAGTATGACCACGAAAATATTTTCCTCCGAATTCCTGTAAATGTTCATCCTGGGGCAGGAAGTTATCCCTCTGTTACGACTTTCAGAGCTTGAACCCGAGAAAGCGACAGGTGAAACCCACGTCACTTAAACAGATACATACACGTCGTCATCCAGAAGTTCGCGTTTTCATCGGTAGCTTCAGTGTAGCGCCCACTGCTTCACTGGGCATTAGTAACCTCTTACATCTGCCTATTTTATGGCATTTTCCCAAAGCCCATTCACCAATCTAATTTGACTTTCTCAAGAAATTCAGAGGCAGGCAGAGAAACTAGCAAAGAGCATGAAGAGGATGAAAAAATATTTTTAGCTGACGTTGAAGCCAGGAAAGAGGTGAGGCCAGGGTTCCGCTCCTGGCCTTGCCTCTTGCTAGCAACATAACCTTCAGTTTGTCACTTACCTTTTTCAAACTTCGGTTTCCTGTAAAAAAGGAGGTAACAGCACCTATCCTGTGGGGTGTGATTCGAACGAGGGATAAGGTATGAACCGCATGGCAGCCAGTACTGCCCACCCTTCTCCGTCTCCACTTCACAAATAAGGAGGTGAGATTCAGGCAGGTGAAGCCACGTCCAAGGCCACACATCACAGATGCCAAAGTAGAGCCAAGTTCTGTGTCTCTGAAGCCTAGTGCCCTGCCTGTGAAGCCCCCAAAGGGCCTGGTACACTGTGCTGTCGGTAGACTGTGTGCAGCCTTACTCCACACTTGTCATTGTTACGAAGGGTAAAATCTCAGTAAGCCGAAGTCCTTTTACACTTACCTCACCTACCACTGTCACATGAAGAGACTGTTAAAAATATGCCTAGGAGGTATGTGGCATTTTCTTTGGGATAAAATTCTCAGTTCAGAGACATGATCTGATATTTCTGGGGTTCCTTTGCACGCTCAGAAGAAAAAAAAAACACTCTGTCTATAGGTGTCCGAGTTCATGCTAATGCTGTGTAACTGATACGAAACATAAATGCTCTGCCCCGCTGTTGGTATAAAGACAGTCTGAAGGACTTGCAAGCAAGAAAAAAAAATCATGCACTGTTAGCAAAGTTGCCTCATGTGTTAATTTGCCCAAAATTAGATGTTTGGTCTTATGTATTTTGTCGCTAGTAACATCCTTCTGGGTTTATAAATTTTTCAGTAACTGGAGCTTTAGGGTATTATTTTAGAAACATATATTTGCCACATTAAACGTCCTGGTGTTTTCAGATGCATTGTCGATGGGCTCATTTCTTTTCCTCTTTGTGATCGGATCCAACACTGACTGTACTGTTTTGTTGTATCGAATAAACATCTTCTGTGGACCAGAAGAAAACTTGGACCTAGCTATAAGTTTCTAGTGTCCAAAGTAATTTTACTCTAAAGTATTTTTTAAGCCCTGGCTGGCATAGCTCAGTGGATTGAGGGCGGGCTGCAAACCAAAGTGTCACAGGTTCGATTCCCAGCCAGGGTACATGCTTGGGTTGCAGGCCATAACCCCCAGCAACCGCACATTGATGTTTCTCTCTCTATCTCCCTCCCTTCCCTCTCTAAAAATAAATAAATAAAATCTTTTTAAAAAATTGTTTTAAAAAAGTATTTTTTAATCCAGTAACTTTTGTCTACATCGATGCTTCCAATAAAAACATGATGTGAGCTGTAGATGCAAGCCACATGTGTAGCTTACATTTTTCTAGTAGCCACATTTTTAAAAATTAAAAATCAGGTGAAACTTTGTCTATTATATTTTATTTCACATGAAATATCCAAATATTATCATTTCAACATGTAATTAAGATAAACAAATTATTAATTAGACATTTTACTTTCTTTTTTTTAATATCAAGTCTTCAAAGCCTGGTGTGTGTTTTACACTTACATTTCAAGGGCTCAGTAGCCACACACGGCTTGTTGATACCACGCTGACCGGCGTGGGTCTAGATCCTCCCATCTCTATCTACTGCCACTGCCCTGGGCCAGGCCCCCAAATGGTCTCCCAGCTTCCCTCCCTGTTTACTTCAGTCCGTTCTCCGTGCAACAGCAACGATGATCTTCTGAAACAGAAATGCAATATATAAATTGGACCTCGTCACTTCTCTGTGTAAGAATCCTCCCTCACTTTGTCACCTGTATGAACGTGTATTCAGTGGGCTGTACACTAAAAGCAAATACCAAAAAAAGTGTGAAATGCAAACTATAAGTGAAAAATAAAATTTTTAAAAAGAAAAGGAAAAATAAATCTGACATGTTTTAAAAATAATGAAATAAAATAAAAGTTAAGAATGGTTTCTTTTTGGAGTTTTCCATTTAGTATTTTTGGACCGTTACCGACCACAGGTAACAAACTGCGGAAAGCCAGACTGCCAGTAAGGGGACAATACGGTACCGATTTGGGGGTGAACCCAATGAGGGCTACATCAACCAAGTGTAGTCAAATGTACAAAAGATGTTACTTTTTGCTGAACTTTGAAATGCCTTATTTATCAAAATGAGGCTTACTGGTCTCCTTTGAATATGACCCTTATTTGCCATTGTTGAATAAAAACCATTTTGAAGAGAAAAAAATGGGAATGCTTCTTTATTTTCTCACTGGACTCAAAACAAAGTCAGAGTTCTTACAAGACCCTGTACCGAAAGAGACTTTGCCTGGGGCGATGGGCGCATGATGCTGCGTGCAGATGATGTTTTGTTGAGTTGTCCACTTGAAACTATGGTTTTGTGAACCAATGTCACCCCAATACATTCAGTTTAAAAAAAGACCCTGTATTCCCTGTGCCTGGTGTCCTTTGCAACCCCACTGGGACCACTCCCCTCAGCTCACTCCAACCTAGCCACACTTTGTTACTTGCAACTTCACAAGCTCTTTCCACCTCAGGACCTTTGCACATTCTCTTCCTCTTTCAATGACTGGGTCCTTGCCATGCTTCAGGTTTCAATGTGAAAGTTCTCTTGTTCAGGCAAGCCTGCCTTTACCAGCCTACTTAAGGAAGCTTCCCTGCCCTCACCACCATTACTGTCCCTCTCAGAGCACTCACCATAATGTGCAAATATTGTCTACATGCTTACTTTTTTAAATCTGTCTCCTCCACTGGACTGTAAGCTCTAAGCTTGTATTACTTTCATAATAGGAAGAAAGGAAGGGAGGGAGGGAGGCAGGGAGGGGAGGGAGGGAGGAAAGAAGGAAGGAAGGAAGGAAGGAAGGAAGGAAGGAAGGAAGGAAGGAAGGAAGGAAGGACCTCTAGTGCACTAGAGAGATACTACTAGAGAAAATGAGGGGCCTGTATCCCACCTTAGGGTGCTGGTTCGAGGTCTCAGATGGAAAGAACCCTTCGGGTGTGATACTGGCATGACCATTCAAATGTCCCTTGGCTGGGTCCCTGAGGATATTGTCCCAAAAGGGGAGACTATAGGAAAACTGAAGAAGCAAAGTCATCTTGTCGTGAGCGTCACTCTGGTGGGGAGAGGTCTCTCCTACCCCCTACCCTTGTTCCCAGGAAAAGCCGCAGCCCTATCAAATGAGATGAGTCAGCAAGGCTCACAGAAGACGCAATGCCCCCCAAATCCGCAAGGTGGCAGGGTAAAGAGCAGAACCAGGGACAACCAAGGTCAAGGGAAAGAAACCCAAGACCACCAAGGCTAACTATTCTAGAAGTTGCCAGGAATCCAGTGGACATGGGAAAAGATGGCGTTGCAGTGCCTAGGACTATTTTCCTATGGTTTTAATTGATTTGAAGGTCTTTAGGGGCCAGCAATAAAGCCAACATCACCAAGTCTCCACATTGTCACACTGAATACTGTTTTAAAAGGGTAAGACACGATTTCAAACCCTGAGAGCTGAAGAAACTTCAAGGACAAGGCAACAACTTGTTTTAACAAAGAAAGATGTCAAATCTATCCCAAGAGACTTACTATGCACCCACATTGTTTGGCCCGGAGTCTATCAAATAAATTCTAACATCCCCTTTTGTAGTTGTTTTTATCTTTTTTTATTATCTACCTCTCCCACTAGCCTCTAAACTCTGTATTTTTACAATGTGGTACACATAATTCTTCTATAATTTTTTTAATAATAACTCCATAAACTGCATGTACACACACACACATTAACTTGGGCAGCTGCAGCAGGCTGAATTAATAGCGTCAGTTCTTCATCACCACCACGGCATCCCCATGCTCTTTGCCATATAACTTGCCCCTTGACCTTGGGCTCAACCAAGTGACTTGCTTTGGACAATGGCACAGTTGCAAACATGACACAAACAGGGGTATGAAGTATGTTTGTGCAGCTAGATGTGCCCTCCTGCATTTCGGCCACTGCCACCAAAAAAGCCCCCCACTGCTAGATAACTATGGCCCCTTCACACTGACGCTCAGAACGAACTCACGTGGAGAGCACCTGAGCCAGGAACCAAGTCTACACGAGGTACAGCTTACAGTAGAGCCACTCACGCCAGCCCAGCTAGCCCCGCGGACCACCAGCTACCACAGCCTGAAGCAGAGCTTCCGTCCACCTCCCAATCCTGGAGATTAAAGCACTGTTATTCTAAGTCACTGGGTCTAGGAGTGGTTTGTTGCACGGCCTTCCTCTGACAGTGGCTAACTGACACAGGGGGTCTGCTGGCATGGTTAGTGTGTCCAAATCAGGGGCTATTGGGTCTAAGTTAATCAGAGCATCCAAGCGGACAGACGCTTCCTTCAAAACTGAATAACGATCTACCAGGTAGGTTGTGTGGTGTGATGGTGAAGATTGTGGGCTACAGGGTCGCCCAGAGACGTGGGCTCGCTTGAATCCTGGCTCTGAAACGTATTACTTGCATTACGTCAGTGTAAGCTGCGACACTCAGCAAACTGTCCAAATCACTGTTTTCTCTTTGATAAAGAAAAGAATGGTAATTATAGTAAAGCTTAACCTCTTAAGGAATTTTGAGACTTAAAAGAGAAAGTCATACACCAAGTCCCTGACAAATACAGTAAGGACCTAGTACCTGGAAACCACCGTTGTTGTCACTGTTGTGATTATTCCTTCTCTTTGCAGTCACCCTTTTTTATTTATGCATACGCCCCATTCTCAGATACACGATAGAAAGTCTGTAAATATCTCTTGAATGACCAAATGATAGAGAGATTAATCAAATACATAGTAAGATCTACACTTTTACATGTTGCTGAAATAAACATACATCTTTATTTGAAAAGGAAACATAGCCCTTTCTCAACATGAGTTGATTTCCCCCCTTTGCATTCACACCCCATGCCCCCGGGCTCCCTTTCCCTTTTCGTGCGCTCCACACTCTACACAAACACACAGCTTCCTGTTTAGGGCGGCAATACAATGGCAAGATGGCCTGGCCTTGCACAGGGGCCTATCCGGCCGCAGCATGCTTCCCCAGGAGGGCTGTCGTTTCTGCTCTGGGCCAGGACATTGGCCTAAGTCTGCCCAGCAGGGAAGGAGAGCCAAGGTCAGCATCAGGTTCTTGATGGCAGGTGCCAGACTTCTCTCCAACCCAAACAGGAATGACAGGGGCACTGGCAAAGGTGCGGGGCTGTAAGTTGGTACAAATAAACACACGAGGGGAGTGGGGCGTGGACAGGACACTTTGTGGAACCACCTCTAAGGCCACTGTCGTATTACATTTCCTTCAGGAAAAGTGTTGTGCCTTTAAGTGGGAGAGAAAAGCTCTGGTTCTTCAAGGGAAAAATACTGAGACGTGTGTTGTTTGTCTCTGTGGGATCTCAGGGGGGCCGAGCTTCGGAGAGATGGAGAGACACTCCAGCAATGGTCCTCAAACCTCCAGGTGCATCTGGAGTCAGTTGGGGGTTCACGAGACTTCAGAGAACCTTGGAAGTGGAAGATGACGGCAAAAGCAACCAAAATAAAGTGCAAACTGGGGCTGAGATGATGCTGGTTGAGAGGGCAGACAATAGTGACAACTAACTAACCGTATCCTCTGACAGATAAGAGAAATTGTTCTGCTCTCGCAAAACGTGAACAGAATGCTATAAAAAGGAATATTCAGGAAAGGAATCAACAAAAACATCTTCAGAAATTAAAAAACATAACATAAACTAAAATTCAATAAAAAGACCCTGGCTGGCGTAGCTCAGTGGATTGAGCACGGGCTGCGAACCAAAGTGTCGCAGGTTTGATTCCCGGCCAGGACACATGCCTGGGTTGCAGGCCATGGCCCCCAGCAACAGCACATTGATGTTTCTCTCTCTCTCTCTCTCTCTCTCTCCCCCCCTCCCTTCCCTCTCTAAAAAATAAATAAATAAAATCTTAAAAAAAACACACACAAAAAAATTCAATAGAAAGATTTGAGGTTAGAGCTATGAAAATTTTTTCAGAAAAATAAAGCAAAAATGAGAGCGAGATTAAAAAAAAAAACAAGAAAAAAATTTTAAGAGAAGATATTTATCCAGATGAGTTGGAAACTTATGTCCACACAAAAATCTGCACACAGAGGTCTACAGTAGTTTTATTTATAACTGCCAAAACTTGGAAGCCACCAGGATGTCCTTCAGTAGGTGAATGGGTAAACAGACAACCCAAACAATGGAATATTATTTAGCACTAAAAGGAAATGAGCTATCAAGCCACAAAAAGAAGAAGCTTAAATGCATATCACTAAGTGAGAGCAGCGAATCTGAGAAGGCTATATACAGTATAGTTGCAACTACACGATATTCTGGAAAAGACAAAACAGGAGAAAGAAAAGAAGATCAGTGGTGGCCAGAGTTTAGAGTGGAGGGAAGGATGAATAACTGGGGAACAGAGGGTTTGGAGGGCAGTGAAACTATTCTGTACGACATTGTCATGATGGATACATGCGAGTACACATTTGTCCAGACCCATGGAGTGTACAACTCCAGAAGTGAACCCTAACATAAACTATGGCCTTCGGGCGAT